AGAATAGCTAATACAATATACAAAATTTAAAATGTGGTTAAAATGAAATATTAATATAGGCCTTTTCTTTTTTAAAAGTTATTTAAAAACCAAATTTAAAATACCCCTTAGGCCAGTCCTGCCAGCTGAAATAGCCATGTCTTGAGGGCGCGGCGGAAGGAGGGGAGATCCGGAATCACCCGGATCTCTGGGGGTAGTTTGTTCCAGAGGGTGGGGGCTCCAACAGAGAAGGCTCTCCCCCTGGGGGTCGCCAGCCAACACTGTCTGGTTGACGGCACCCTGAGGAGACCCTCTCTGTGGGAGCGTATCGGCCAGTGAGAGGTAATCTGTGGCAGAAGGCGGTCTCGGAGGTAACCAGGTCCGATGCCATGGCGCGCTTTAAAGATGATAATCAACACCTTGAAGCGCACCCGGAAGGCCACAGGCAGCCAGTGCCAGTGCCAGTGATATGAAAAAAGCAGAAATGACAGATTCTCCCTCAGAAAAAAATCTTACCTTGATAGAGACAGGTATCCACCTAGACCTGTGGTAAAGCCAAAGCAAAGAGTAGACTAGCCAAAAATGGGGTTAGACCCAGATACTTGTACTAATATGATTATAGAATTGATAAGTTAGCAGCAAGAGGAAAGGCTGTGGTTAATTAAAGAGGAAGAAGAGCTGCTTTGGAGGGAGAAAGAAAGGAAATATAGGCTGGACAGAAAGGAGTGCAATAGAGGTACGAAGGGAAGAGTTTAAGGGGATGATGGACCTATTTAAAGGGATAAAGTGACCAGAAGACAGGAATTCAGTTCTAAAGTTTCTAGAACACATATTGAACTGCTTGAATTTAAGCCAGTGGTTCTCAACCTTTTTAATGCCGTGACCCCAACCGGTCGTAAGTCGAGGACTAAACCGGTCGTAAGTCGAGGACTAAACCGGTCGTAAGTCGAGGACTTTCCCTGCCCGGGAGTGCCGCGCATGCATGGTTCTGCCTCCTGCGCCGGCCGAGGCGTAGCTGGCAAGCGGCAGAGACAGAGCAGGCCGACCACCAGCTGCCCCAGCCCAAGGGAGGTAAGGCACCCGCCGGAAAAGGGGAAAAAAATAGCAAACAAAAAAATGGCGGACAAAAAAATGGCGGACAGCCTTGCTTGGCGACCCCTGTGAAATGGTCGATCGACCCCAAATGGGGTCCCGACCCACAGGTTGAGAACCACTGATTTAAGCCATCTCCATTTGCGTGGTTTCCCCTTGTATTGGATATCCCACTTTTTTATGGATATCCCAAAGAATAAAACATTCCAGGTTGTCAGAGGAATAGGACATAGAAGCCTATTTCATAATGTTTAAAAGACTAGCTACATCTTGCAAGTCGTGTGAGAATGAATCAGTGGTCAGACTAGCCCCATGTTTAACAGGAAAGGCTTTGAGAGCTTACAGTAGTCTTCCAGCAAGAGAAGAAGTAGATTACTCTCATGTCAAAGACATAATCCTATACAGATATGTAATTTCCTACAACTATAAGCTGAGGTTTAGGGGTTACAGATACAACAAATATGGAGAGATTCATTAATAACGGGCAAGGTTGGAAGAACTAGGCCAGTGATGGCAAACTTTTTAGAGACCGAGTGCCCAGGCTGCAACCCAAAACACACTTATGCATCGTCGGGTGCTGGCTGGGTGTGGCCCATTGGCTGGGTGTGGCCCATTGGCTGGGTGTGGCCCATTGGCTGGGCGTGGCTGCGGTGGTAACGGCAGACTGGGTGGGACTAAAAAGTTCAATCAATTCCAACTTTGCAAGATCTTTTTTTTTCCCACTAGAAGTTGAAATTGACTGATTGATTGAACCTTTTTTTTTTGCACACGGCAGCAGAGGCCTAAAGTGAAAAGTTTTTATAAAACCCAGCTGAAGGCCTACAACTGGGGTGATGGCACACGTGCCCACAGAGAGGGCTCTGCGTGCCGCCTCTGGCACCCGTGCCATAGGTTCGCTACCACTGAACTAGGCAGAAAATGGACAACCATTTGTCTGAAATGGTATAGAATTTCCTGCTTGAGCAGAGGGTTGGGCTAGAAGACCTCTAAGATCCTTTTCAACTCTGTTATTCTGTATTGTGAAATGGTTGAGACCAGAGCAAAGAAAAAGTGGTAATTTCCCAGAATCCCCAGCCCATCACATCCTGAAGATTATGAATATCAAGGACTTCCAGTTTGAATACAGTATTTCTGACCAGCATCAGAGGTGAGAGAAACTAATTTAACAGTTAAATGTCTTTCAAAGCATTGAGATTGTAAGCTAATTTAACCTACAAAATATAGCACATACAGCGAAACTTTCCTTTTCTTTATTTCTTCCTTAATCCCTAGTGACTGTTTACATGCCTGAAAAATCATCCCTGAGGAAAGCAATGCAAAGAATAGCAAAATTTTATATACCGTGTTGCTAACACCACTATCATCTTTAAAATGATGGTTTGATCTTTTCTAGCCACAAACAGTATGTACATCTTTTGGATAATTAAATAAATAGCTCACCTTAGTATTGCTATTTGAGTCCAGACCATCATTTCTTTTCTTTTCAAGGCAGGTCACATGCTCAGTTTCGGGGCTTACATCGCCACGACCTTGAAAACCTTCTTCATTATCAGTATTGAGAGAATCATCCACAGGGCCTGCATCACCCTCTCCTTCATTGTTTGGGTTGGTTATTTTTGTACCATTAACACAAGCCTGAATGTTGTTCCTATCACTATGGGTTTCCGTCGCATTTTCTCCAAGGTTTGTTGTACTTTCTGGGGTTCCAGCTCCCCAACCATCACTAGAACCTTCTTCATTGGGATCTCCACCATTACCACTTCCACCTTCATCAATGTACGCCCACTGTATACTTTCCCCATGGACCTCACTTCCCATCAGTATATTTGCTGTGTTATCTCCGGGGCCATAAATTGCATATCTATGTCCATCCAAGTCAATAAAGCTTTGAATGTGATTGCCCTGGAGTCCTCTATGATCTCTAAATTCGTCTCCAGTTTGATCATAAATTTGATCTTCAATGCCATGCTGCTTATCATTTGGATCACTCTCAGAAACAAGAGGACCACAAGATATTAGTTATAAGAGAAGGGGTCAAGGTATTGGCCTTAGTGACTTTATAAGTGGAAGATTTCATTGAAGGACAGAAAGTCATCGTAAAAGGAGACGTCCGTATACAAGAGACAAAAGTAAATAAGAGTCTAATAGAAGTCCAGAAGGTAAAAGTAAAAGTAACTGTAATTGTTTTAGTCGTCATCCATTAACTCTATCTGCATTTGTAGTAGATTCTTCTGTTTTGCATTCTTCATGGCCAGGGCCAATACTCCTTCCATGTACACAATTAATATTTCCACTACTATATCCTAAATTGTTGAGTAAAACTCTGAAGTCCTCTCCACCGTTGTTGTTATGAACAGCATTTGATGTATCCTATAAAGGAGTGCAATATTAAGAAGAAGAGTAAAAAAAGGGAAATGAAAAGAGTGACATTTTAAAGGTCAACTTAAAGGTGGAATTTGTGTTACATTACTATCAGTGATGGTTGTCATAGGAGCATTAAAAACCTAAGAAGTGTCTTGGAGAATCATCCCAAAGCTGAGTTAATCAGGTTTTTGCTCTGAGTAGGAACATAGCAACACATGAGCCTCCCAGCACCTTTGCAAAATTTGTAGATGATGTAAAAAGATTAAAACTGGAGCATAAACTAACTAGCTGTTATTGTCAGGTTGCTAACCTACAAGCCATAACTCAATTCTGGTACAAGGAGGTAAGTAGAAAATTAACTACACCATCAAAAAAACCCAGAGCCTTACATGATGTCATTAAGGTAATCAGGTCATGTCTACTTACTGACCTGAACAATTAATTGCCTTTTGTCTTTGCTTGTCTTGGTCAGATTGAGCAAAACTCTAAGAAATGCATGATGGCATTATTAAATTGGGTGTGGACAATTCCCCACTTACGGGTTGGCATTGAGATCTGGCTGTCCCATGGATGTTTAGTTTTCCAGTGAGAAAGTAGCCATCTTACTCAGAGCACGGAGCCATGGTTTCATATTACCAGTAGCGCATGGAAACAATAAGGAAATAGAAGTTGTTTTGGTCATTTTTTACAAATTAGTACCTTGCTTTTTAATATTATCTGTATGCCTCAATAATAACCAAACACAAGAGAACATAACCGACTTGATTTAAAAAGAAGAATTTTAAAACAAAAGTTAGGCAGATTTCCTAAATAAAAATGATTTGCGAAGAAGAATGGTAATCAGTTTCCATGAAAAGGGAGATTCTGAAATTGAAACCTGTGGCAAAAAGGGCCCCATCTCAGCTAAACAAGTTTATTTAAGTCATAAGAAGCAGCCTGGGCTGGTTTTTATTCCCTCTAGATGACAAAAAGAAAGCCATAAACAGGACACAAGTTTGAGATATAGAATATTGGGGAGCAGAGACTGAAATAACAAATATAAGCAACAACAACAGTTGTTGTTATAATTAAGAGCCTAGTTTATCTATCATGCTGATTCTCTCTGCCACATTCTTTACTTTTCAATATAATCAGTACATTGCTTTTAAAGAAAAATATCTTTAATAATATCTTTTTAATGCTTTTTAAAACTCTTGTAAAGTTCACTCCCTGTGGATCAAAACAATAGGATTTCCCATCTTCCATCTGATGGGGCTCTCTTGCTTGATCTGAAGGATGACAATGGCAGATGAGCAGAGTGCTGTTGTTAGGTTTAAGCCAAAATACTGACACCTGTGTTAGAAACTAAAACAGGAGTTTAATTTGGCACAGACAGGAAAACCACTGTTCCTTAAATATTAGTTTGTCAGGAAGTACCAAGTTAAACCTGGACAGAATATCAGAATTCAAAGGCGTGCAAGATCAAAATGACACAGTTGGTATAAAGATAGCATCACCTGTTTCTTCTATTTCTGTCACTAAGAAAAATGTCAGAAAAGTAGTTGCATTATTTGTTGACCTTTCCCCACCCACCAATTCGCTTTTCTTAAACGAGAGATGTATCCCAACTAGGAAGTCTTTGGCTCTGAAAAGGCATAACACAGTAATCAATTTCTACTGTGAATGGAGAAAATAGTATTATGGTATACTGGTACTATGCCCCTCAAGATTGGAACCCATTGGTGGTCCCTGAAGATCTAGCCATGTCTACCTTTGCCACCAAACTGCATGAGTTCTGATGACAATTATTAAATATACAGGGAGAGAGAATATTTGTACCTTAAGCATTTAATTAACGTAAAACCATTTAAAATTAATATGGAAATAACTATAATAATAACTATAACCAAATACAATGTTTGTCCTTGTCCCACTCATTTTCTGGACTTGTCCTGTTTACATTTGGACATTTCACCCTTGGCATACCACTCAAAGTCCAAGGGCTTTTGAACAAATAATCTGACCTTATCCTGTAGCAAACTTTTGGTTTTTTGACATAAATAATACGGTGAATATAGGAGCAGGATTTATTGTCCCTCTTCTGTCTTACATATCACAATAATTTCTATTTTGCCTTCAAGAAATGTTTGGTATTTGTTCTTATTCCTATGCCAGTTATCTCAGGATAAACACCTTGCAATTTTGTTGAATTATGCAAATGAATTACTGCATAAATTATCCAGGATAGAACCAAGATGAAGTAGTTAAATGATACCTGAGACTGAAAAAATTCAAAACGCTTTTCTGTTAAAGTGACTGTCCTTTCACTATGATACTACAAATTCAGAGAATGTTATCTCAGCCTTTGTAATAGATTTGTGAGAACTATAGAAGATATTTCTGGAACAGAACTCCCAGTTTAATAAACGCAGTACTGTACAGAACTGTCTTATTTATTAAGTTGTTTTTTCCCTACTCTTAATCATATCTGCAGTGTAATGTAGGATGGCTAAGTCTTCTTCTTTTTAATCTTCTGAATTCCTTGATAAATTATATTCTGGAGAAAGGCATGAAAACAAATATATTGAAGTTCTTAACAATAAGAAAAGCAGTATAGAAATAATATCCTAAACCAATAAACTAAACACATATTTTAAAGGAAAACTGATATGCCATTGTGTGAGATGTGTTTGAATATTGTATTCTTGTATAATTTGTTGTATAATTAAGTCATATACACATTCTAAAATTTTATAGGAATTTACTCACCTCATTATCCCCAGTGCTCATAACATTCCTTTGTTCATATTGAAGGAGCTTGTAAATCAGAAAAACAATTGAAAGAGCAATTAAAGTTTACTGAAAATAATAATCAATACAGAACATCCAGAATATTTCTGCTTGATTTGTAAATGACATTGCAGGAGTTTATGCAATATGACATAATAATCTGGTAAAGAATGGAGAGGAAGGGCTTAAACAAAATCGGTTGTGATCACATCATAAAAATAATCTATTTAATTTGTACTTGCTCCAAGAAAAGTTATTTGATTTGTCATTTGAATGAATTCTTTTTGCACTTTGTCATCGGTTCTTTGAATATTTATTTCTGCCACTTTCTGATATGATAATGATTAACAGATTACCAACTTTCAAAATAATGAATAGTAAAGTAAATAAACAGCACACTACTGAATAATAAATTACCAAATAATTAATTCCTCCTGAGCAAGAGTTATGTTCTCTTTGACCAGATGTGGAATGATAAAATAATTGCGTAAGAATTGAGTATGGAGCATTTTCATCAAGAGATTGATGTGATCCATAAGAGCAGAATGAAAATTCTGGGCCACATTGTAGTTTACACGTACAGAGTTGTGGATGTGTAACTTTGGCAAGTTGCTGAATTAATTGTCAAGCAACATTCTGGAACCTCCTAAGTATATTACCTACCTCTAGGCACAGCAATGGATTGGGGTGGTTGTCAGGTTTTATACAAAAATATCCATTTTGCATCTTGAGCAAAATACAAATTAGCACAACTTCTTTGGATTGGGCAGTATCAACATTCATTGCAAATAAATAAATGGACAAACTGGTGTTCTAAATCTGCAATTTTCAGAATTTCACTGTGCTGTTTGCAACTTGAATAAATGCACGCAAAAGTGAAACATCCACAGAAAAGTCACTTGAAAAATGGAAGCACGCTAGGAAAAGTACTGTAGTTTTAAAAGTGATTTTTCAAAGAATTGCACTAAAATATGCAAACACTCTATGGACTTCTTTTTTTACTGACTTCTGTGAGTGATGTGGAATTAAACCAAAATGGGAATACCTATATCTTGACAGTCAGTTCTATGTAAGAACGAATGCAGGAACTGGGCATGTCTAGTTTAATGAACAGAAGGACTAGGGGTGACATGATAGCAATGTTCCAATATCTAAGGGGTTGCCATAAAGAAGGGGTCAATCTATTCTCCAAAATACCTGAAGGCAGAACAAGAAGCAATGGGTGGAAACCAGTGGTGGGGTTCAAGTATGTGAACAACCGGTTCTCTGTGTGGATGCTGCTTCCAGAAGTTCATTCTGGGCCTGGGCAACAAAAAATTAGCTACCAGTTCTGCCGAAGTGGTGCGAACCACCCGAATCCCACCACCACTGGTGGAAACTAATCAAGGAGAGAAGCAACCTAGAACTAAGGAGAACTTTCCTGACAGTGAGAACAATTAATCAATGGAATGGCTTGACTTCAGAAATTGTGGCTATTCCATCACTGGGGTTTTTTTAAGTATAGATTGTACAACCATTTGTCTGAAATGGTATAGGGCCTCCTACTTGATCATGGGGTTGGACTAGAAGACCTCCAAAGTCCCTTCCAACTCTATTATTCTTTTGTGTTTTAGTAATCTTTACTTTCCTGTGGAAGAATATTTATTTCCCTCCGTAAATATGACGTTCCTAATGAGCAGATCTGACATTAATTCAATGAAGCAATAAAATGACTTACCGGGAGTGCCCAGGCTGTTACAACAATGCAAAGAAACACAATTGTTTTCTTCATCCTCAGTGATAGGCACAGCCTGACCTTGGAAACAGGCTGCAAATAAAGACACCATTCAATGAACATGAAATCCAAACACATTGTAGA